GGCCGCTGTTGGGCAGGCGGCCTTCTGTCTCAAATGGACACAGGCCGCGGCGACGCGGACAGCGAGTCCTGTTCAAAATGAACAGGAACTGCTGTTGGGCATCGTACCCCTTCCTTCCGTACCCATTTCGGGCGTCCAGACAAGCGCTGTGGGTGTAGGTGGATGAGGAAGTTGCTTCTTCCAACCTCCTCCTTCCCCCGGTCAAGGTGAGGTTCAACTTTCTCCCTATCCCATCCACCTGGCTCTGGAGGGGGGCGCCGCGATGTGCTAGACAGCCCCACATGGCCCAAGATGATTCCAATGTGGCCCCAGCAAGCCTAAGATGGCCTCTAAGATTGCACTGTAGCACGATCTGGCTCCATATTCCCCAGAGGCGCCATGGGCGTCCCAAGATGGATCCAAGTGGCCTGGGATCCCCACATGGATCCCCCCGACCCCCCCTAGATCCTTCCAGCACCTACAGAGAATCGATTATGTGTGCCTTTTAATTTCTTGGTTTCCGAGGGGCACACGAGAGCCATGAGAGGGGCCCAAGCGGGCCCCAGGGGCTGCCATAAGTGCCCCAGAGGCACCCCCAAGAGGGTCCCAGCATGCAACTCTGCAACCTCTGACGGGGGGGCAAGTGCCATAATCCCGCCAACCCCTTGGGCGCAGCGGGGTTTCTTTGGCGGCGGGGCATTGCTTCCGCGAGGTGCAATTGGGAAGAAATCGAAGGTTTTCTGCACGCGACTGTTCCTTGACGCCCTCGGGAAACCATCGCGGAACGCCCGGAGCGAAGAAACCCAAGATGCCCTGACGAAAAGTATGCGGCTTCTTCGTACGCGCCCCAACTGTACCTTTCCCCCTGCCCCTCCCTGGGTCTGAAGGCGGGGTTCCGCGAGGCGCTCGAGCGTCCAAACTTGCCCAACATGGACCCCCGAGGGTCCCCAAATAATCAGTTACTGTCGCAGAGATCGCGCACGGGAGGAACCACAATGGGCACCCGGCGGGGGGGGCAACAATAGTTATTCTTCAGAAGCAATAATTCAATGGACCAGCAATCCACACTTCAGCGACGCGCCCAGAGTGAATGACCGTTCGGCCCTCTCCATTCTCAATCTGTTTATCGGAGGTTGGGGGGTGAGGTCGAAGTGGAACGGAGAGCCCCCCTACCGGGAAATCGATTTCGATTTCGTGTTCGTGCCGTGCGTGCGGGCGAGGCGAGGACCTCCACGTGGCCTTCGGTGGCTCCAAGATTCCCCAATATGGGCTCAAAACAGCCCACGATGCCTCCAAGACGCTCCAAGAGGCCCCGAAGGGGCGCTCCAAGAAGGTCCAAAGCAGCGGAAATCATTGATTTTCCATTGGGAAACGTAAATTTTAAGCATCGACGACTTTTCAGCCTGCACGGAGTTGCAGCCAGTCTAAGAGGCCCCCAAGGCCGCCCCATGACGTCCCAAAAAGGTCCCCAGGCGCCCAAGACGGCCCAAAACGGCGCCAAGACGGCCCCAGAGGCTCCCGAATCGGCCCAAAAGAGTCCCAAGACGGTTCCTAAAGGGGCCCCAGCGGCGGAACCCGAACCGAAAATCCGAGCCCTCCGCTCCCACCTGGCCTTGGGACACCCCACGAGCCGCCCAAAAGGTCCCAAGAGACCCCCCAAAAACCTCCAAATAACGTCCGAGAGGCCCAAAAGAGGCCCCAAGAGCGTCCCAAAACGGCTAGCAGTGAACTTCGAAACTGCCTCCACGAAGCCTGCGAGATGCCTCCCCAGAGATCCCAACGAACATCGCACAAGCCTCAGACCCCGTGGCCGCGGGCCCCGGGCGGCGCTTCAAGCCGGAGCGCGCCGGGGGGGAAGGAGGAGGAAACGGAGGGAGAACAAGGGAGGAGGACGAAGAGGAAGGAGGAAGAAAGAAGGAAGAAGGTAGAAGGAGAGAGGAGGGAAGAGGGGGAGGAGGAGAAGCAGGAGGAGGAGGAGGACGACGAGGAAGAAGGAGGAAGGAGGAAGGAGGGAGAAGGGAGGAAGGGGATGAGAAGAAGGGGGAGCTTAAATCCACTACCTCCTTGTGGGTCTCCAGACGTGCGAGATAGTTCCCCCCCCATAACCCCCCCAGGGACATCGAACCGGAGATTTGACCCCCCTGGGCCAGGCGGCGGGACTTCTCCGGGGTCAAGAAGGCCTAAACACGGGCCAAGAAGGCCCCAAGAAGCCTCCAAGACGGCCCACGAGAGCTCCGAGACGCCAAACGATGTCTCCGACTTCGGTAGTCTTCTCTTGCACGCGCCGCTCCTGTCGCCTTTTGATGATTCCCCACCTGTTGCTGCTGCAAATGTTTCGTGTCCGAGAACGCTCCTCCGCACGCCGCGCACGTCACGTCGCACCTCGTTCTCTCGCCCCTCCGCGCATTTCCGACAGAGCCTCTCCCCCGATGAATTGTGCTTCTTCTGTGCGCCCGACATTTCCGCCTGCTCTTTTGCTCTTTCAACAGCGTCAGACATGTCTTGCTCGAACGCAATTAAGGGGTCGGCGGATGTGGCGTAAGCCTGAAGAATCGATTTCGGTTTCGTGTTCGTGCCGTGCGTGCGGGCGAGGCGAAGCTGCGCGGGCGGGGGAAAGGAAATTCTCCTTTGGCTGGGCCGCGGCTGGACCAAAAGGTTCTCCGCCCGGCAACCGGCGGCGCGCGGTGTCCCGCGGGTGTCCCGCTGGTGTCCCGCTGGTGTCCCGCCGGAGTCCCGTCGTGGCTGGGCCGCGGCCGGACCAAAAGGTTCTCCGCGCGGGAACTGGTGGCGCGCGGTGTCCCGCAGGTGTCCCGCTGGTGTCCCGCTGGTGTTCCGCCGGTGTCCCGTCGTTGTCCCGTGGTGTCCCGTGGTGAGATCGACAGTGAGATCGATAGTGAGATCGATCGTGAGATCGATCATTAGACCGATAATGAGATCTATAGTGAGAGATCGATAGTGAGATCTATAGTGAGATCGATCGTGATATCGATAGTGTGATCGATAGTGAGATCGATCGAGTGTGATCGATCGACTGTGATCGATAGTGTAATCGATAGTGAGATGAATAGTGAGTTCGAAAGAAAAATCGATAGCGAGATCGATAGCGATATCGATAGTGGGATCGATAGGGGCATGGATAGTGAGATCGACAGTGAGATCGATTGTGTCCCGTCGGTGTCCCATCGGTGTCCCGTGGTTTCACGTGCTGAGATCGGTAGTGATATCGATAATGATATCGATAGTTAGATCGATGAGACCGATAGTGAGAACGATAGTGGATCGATGGGATGTTAGATACTGAGACCGACTGTCAGATCAATCGTCAGATCGATATTGAGGATCTTAACACCAAGGCTCTTAACACCAAGGCTCTTTACATATCGAGCGTGCGCCATCCCCGGAAAGCTCCCAAGAGCCCTCCAAGAGGCTCCCAAGAGCCCCCCAAGAGGTCCAAAAGACGCGCCCAAACGGCCCCCCAAGCCCTTGCAACATTAACGAAATAATGTATTATTTCGTTGGTTCCCGGGGGAGGGGGGGAATGGTACCAAGGCGCCCAAGAGAGAAGGGTGACGTAAACAACTCGACACCAAGGCTCCCAAGAGCGAGCGGCAACGCAACGATCTCCACTGGCATCGTCAGAACAACAATCACCACTGTTGCCCATTGCTGGCCCCATCCCCCCCCCCAGCCTCCTTATCACCCGCAAGGTGGTCGTCGGAGGTTGGGGGGTGAGATCGCAGTGAAACGGAGAGCCCCCGCCGGGAAATCGGTTTCGGTTTCGTGTTCGTGTCGTGCGTGCGGGCGAGGCGAAGCTGCGCGTGATCCTCTTGTAGCTAGGCCGAAGTAGGAGCGAAAGTCCGTTCCCGTCCACCGGTGGCTGGGAGGTGTCCCAGTTGGGCTGGGCGGTGTCCCGGGTGTCCCGTGTGTCAGTAAGAGCGAAAATCCGTTTCCCGTCCGCCGGTGGCCGGGAAGTGTCCCAATTGGGCCGGGCGGTGTCCCAGGTGTCCCGGGTGTCCTGGGCGTGTCCCGCTGGTGTCCCGCTGGTGTCCCGTCGCTGTCCCGTGGTGTCCCGTGGTGAGATCGACAGTGAGATCGATAGTGAGATCGATAGTGAGATCGATAATGAGACTGATAGTGAGAGATCGATAGTGAGATCGACAGTGAGATCGATCGTGATATCGATAGTGAGATCGACAGTGAGATCGATAGTGGGATCTATCGAGTGGGATCGATAGCGAGATCGATAGTGTAATCGAAAAGTGTGATGAATAGTGAGATCGAAAGCGAGATCGATAGTGAGATCGATAGCGAGATCGATAGTGGGATCGATAGTGGGATGGATAAGAGATCGAGAGGTGTCCCGCGGTGTCCCGTGGTGGCTCGTGGTGTCCCGTGGTATCCAGTTGAGTGAGATCGATAGT